GGGGTGATGGGGGTGATGGGGGTGATGGGGGTGATGGGGGTGATGGGGGTGAGGGGGGGTGATGGGGGTGATGGGGGGTGAGGGGGGGTGATGGGGGTGATGGGGGGTGATGGGGGTGATGGGGGGTGATGGGGGTGATGGGGGTGATGGGGGTGATGGGGGTGATGGGGGTGATGGGGGTGATGGGGGTGATGGGGGGTGATGGGGGTGATGGGGGTGAGGGGGGGTGAGGGGGGGTGATGGGGGTGATGGGGGGTGATGGGGGTGATGGGGGTGATGGGGGTGATGGGGGTGATGGGGGTGATGGGGGTGATGGGGGGTGATGGGGGCGATGGGGGTGATGGGGGTGATGGGGGTGATGGGGGTGATGGGGGTGATGGGGGTGATGGGGGTGATGGGGGTGATGGGGGTGATGGGGGTGAGGGGGGGGTGATGGGGGGTGAGGGGGGTGATGGGGGTGATGGGGGGTGATGGGGGTGATGGGGGTGATGGGGGTGATGGGGGTGATGGGGGTGATGGGGGTGATGGGGGTGATGGGGGTGATGGGGGTGATGGGGGTGATGGGGGGTGATGGGGGTGATGGGGTGATGGGGGTGAGGGGGGTGATGGGGGGTGATGGGGGTGATGGGGGGTGATGGGGGTGATGGGGGTGATGGGGGTGATGGGGGTGATGGGGGTGAGGGGGGGTGATGGGGTGATGGGGGTGATGGGGGTGATGGGGGTGATGGGGTGATGGGGGTGATGGGGGTGATGGGGGTGATGGGGGGGTGATGGGGGTGATGGGGGTGATGGGGGTGATGGGGGGTGATGGGGGTGATGGGGTGATGGGGAGTGATGGGGGTGATGGGGGTGATGGGGGTGATGGGGGTGATGGGGGTGATGAGAGTGATGGGGGTGATGGGGGTGATGGTGGTGAGGGGGGGTGATGAGGGTGATGGGGGTGATGGGGGGTGAGGGGGGTGATGGGGTGATGGGGGTGATGGGGGTGATGGGGGTGATGGGGGTGATGGGGGGTGATGGGGGTGATGGGGTGAGGGGGGTGACGGGGGGTGATGGGGGTGATGGGGGGTGATGGGGGTGATGGGGGTGATGGGGGTGATGGGGGTGATGGGGGTGATGGGGGTGATGGGGGTGATGGGGGTGATGGGGGTGATGGGGGTGATGGGGGTGATGGGGGTGATGGGGGTGATGGGGGTGATGGGGGGTGATGGGGGTGATGGGGTGATGGGGGGTGATGGGGGTGATGGGGGGTGATGGGGGTGATGGGGGTGATGGGGGTGATGGGGGTGATGGGGGTGATGGGGGTGATGGGGGTGATGGGGGGTGATGGGGGTGATGGGGGTGATGGGGGTGAGGGGGGTGATGGGGGTGATGGGGGGTGATGGGGGTGATGGGGGTGATGGGGGTGATGGGGGTGATGGGGGTGATGGGGGTGATGGGGGTGATGGGGGTGATGGGGGTGAGGGGGGGTGATGGGGGTGATGGGGGGTGATGGGGGTGATGGGGTGATGGGGGTGATGGGGGTGATGGGTGATGGGGGTGATGGGGGTGATGGGGGTGATGGGGGTGATGGGGTGATGGGGGTGATGGGGGTGATGGGGGTGATGGGGGTGATGGGGGTGATGGGGTGATGGGGTGATGGGGGTGATGGGGGTGATGGGGGTGATGGGGGTGATGGGGGTGATGGGGGTGATGGGGGTGATGGGGGGTGATGGGGGGGTGATGGGGTGATGGGGGTGATGGGGTGATGGGGGTGAGGGGGGTGATGGGGGGTGGGGTGATGGGGGTGATGGGGGTGATGGGGGTGATGGGGGTGATGGGGGTGATGGGGGTGATGGGGGGTGATGGGTGATGGGGGTGATGGGTGGTGATGGGGGTGATGGGGTGATGGGGGTGATGGGGGGTGATGGGGGTGATGGGGGTGATGGGGTGATGGGGGTGATGGGGGTGATGGGGGTGATGGGGTGATGGGGTGATGGGGGGTGATGGGGGTGATGGGGGTGATGGGGGGTGAGGGGGGTGATGGGGGTGATGGGGGTGATGGGGGTGATGGGGGTGATGGGGGTGATGGGGGGTGATGGGGGTGATGGGGTGATGGGGGTGATGGGGGTGATGGGGTGATGGGGGTGATGGGGGGTGATGGGGGTGATGGGGGTGATGGGGGTGATGGGGGTGATGGGGTGATGGGGGTGATGGGGGTGATGGGGGTGATGGGGGGTGATGGGGGTGATGGGGGTGATGGGGGTGATGGGGGGTGATGGGGGTGATGGGGGTGATGGGGGTGATGGGGGTGATGGGGGTGATGGGGGTGATGGGGGTGAGGGGGGTGATGGGGTGATGGGGGTGATGGGGGTGATGGGGGTGATGGGGGTGATGGGGGTTGATGGGGGTGATGGGGGTGATGGGGGTGATGGGGGTGATGGGGGTGATGGGGGTGATGGGGGTGATGGGGGTGATGGGGTGATGGGGGTGATGGGGGTGATGGGGTGATGGGGGTGATGGGGGTGATGGGGGGTGATGGGGGGTGATGGGGGTGATGGGGGTGATGGGGGTGATGGGGGTGATGGGGGTGATGGGGGTGATGGGGGTGATGGGGGTGATGGGGGTGATGGGGGTGATGGGGTGATGGGGGTGATGGGGGTGATGGGGGTGATGGGGGTGATGGGGGTGATGGGGGTGATGGGGGTGATGGGGGTGATGGGGGTGATGGGGGGTGATGGGGGGTGATGGGGGTGATGGGGGTGATGGGGTGATGGGGTGATGGGGGGTGATGGGGGTGATGGGGGTGATGGGGGTGATGGGGGTGATGGGGGTGATGGGGGGTGATGGGGGTGATGGGGGTGATGGGGGTGATGGGGGGTGATGGGGGTGATGGGGGGTGATGGGGGTTGATGGGGGTGATGGGGGTGATGGGGGTGATGGGGGGTGATGGGGGTGATGGGGGTGATGGGGGTGATGGGGGGTGATGGGGGTGATGGGGGTGATGGGGGTGATGGGGTGATGGGGGTGATGGGGGTGATGGGGGTGATGGGGGTGATGGGAGTGATGGGGGGTGATGGGGGTGATGGGGGTGATGGGGGTGATGGGGGTGATGGGGGTGATGGGGGGTTGATGGGGGTGATGGGTGATGGGGGGTGATGGGGTGATGGGGTGATGGGGGTGATGGGGGTGATGGGGGGTGATGGGGGTGATGGGGGTGATGGGGGTGATGGGGGTGATGGGGGTGATGGGGGGTGATGGGGGTGATGGGGGTGATGGGGGGTGATGGGGGTGATGGGGGTGATGGGGGTGATGGGGGTGATGGGGGTGATGGGGGTGATGGGGGTGATGGGGGTGATGGGGGTGATGGGGGTGATGGGGGTGATGGGGGTGATGGGGGTGATGGGGGTGATGGGGGGTGATGGGGGTGATGGGGTGATGGGGGTGATGGGGGTGATGGGGTGATGGGGGTGATGGGGTGATGGGGGTGATGGGCGGTGATGGGGGTGATGGGGGTGATGGGGGTGATGGGGGTGATGGGGTGTGATGGGGTGATGGGGTGATGGGGGTGATGGGGGTGATGGGGGTGATGGGGTGTAGGGGGTGATGGGGGTGATGGGGTGATGGGGGTGATGGGGGTGATGGGGGTGGGGGGGTGATGGGGTGGGGTGATGGGGTGATGGGGGTGATGGGGGGTGATGGGGGTGTATGAGGGGTGATGGGGTGATGGGGGTGATGGGGGTGATGGGGTGATGGGGGTGATGGGGTGATGGGGTGGTGATGGGGGGGTGATGGGGGTGATGGGGGTGATGGGGGTGATGGGGGGGGGTGATGGGGGTGATGGGGGTGATGGGGGTGATGGGGGGTGATGGGGGTGATGGGGGTGATGGGGTGATGTGGGGTGATGGGGGTGATGGGGGTGATGGGGGGTGATGGGGGTGATGGGGGTGATGGGGGGTGATGGGGGTGATGGGGGTGATGGGGGTGATGGGGGTGATGGGGGTGATGGGGGTGATGGGGGTGATGGGGGTGATGGGGGTGATGGGGGTGATGGGGGTGATGGGGGTGATGGGGGTGATGGGGGTGATGGGGGTGGGGTGATGGGGGTGATGGGGGTGATGGGGGTGATGGGGGGTGGGGGTGATGGGGGTGATGGGGGTGGGGGGGGGTGATGGGGGGTGATGGGGGTGATGGGGTGATGGGGGTGATGGGGGTGATGGGGGTGATGGGGGTGATGGGGGTGATGGGGGTGATGGGGGTGATGGGGGTGATGGGGGGTGATGGGGGTGATGGGGGTGATGGGGGGGTGATGGGGGTGATGGGGGTGATGGGGGTGATGGGGGTGATGGGGGTGATGGGGGGGTGATGGGGGTGATGGGGGTGATGGGGGTGATGGGGGGTGATGGGGGGTGATGGGGTGATGGGAGTGATGGGGGTGATGGGGGTGATGGGGGTGATGGGGGTGATGGGGGTGATGAGAGTGATGGGGGTGATGGGGGTGATGGTTGGTGAGGGGGGGTGATGAGGGTGATGGGGGTGATGGGGGGTGAGGGGGGTGATGGGGGTGATGGGGGTGATGGGGGTGATGGGGGTGATGGGGGTGATGGGGGTGATGGGGGTGAGGGGGGGTGATGGGGGTGATGGGGGTGATGGGGGTGATGGGGGTGATGGGGGTGATGGGGGTGATGGGGGTGATGGGGGGGTGATGGGGGTGATGGGGGTGATGGGGGTGATGGGGGTGATGGGGGTGATGGGGGGTGATGGGGGGTGATGGGGGTGATGGGGGTGATGGGGGTGATGGGGGTGATGGGGGGGTGATGGGGGGGTGATGGGGTGATGGGGGTGATGGGGGATGGGTGATGGGGTGATGGGGGTGATGGGGTGATGGGGGTTGATGGGGTGATGGGGGTGATGGGGGTGATGGGGGTGATGGGGGTGATGGGGGTGATTGGGGTGATGGGGGTGATGGGGGTGCAGGGACTGGAGGTGGCGGGACTGGAGGGTGTAGAACGCAAGGGTTGTCATGGAAGTGCTGGTGGAGTGAAAAGACGTGCCATGTGGGGGGCTACACATACGGTGAGCTGGAAACTCCCATGGATGGGTACGTGCGGCTGGGCACTGTGCAGGCTCATACCGGATCTCGTGGCTCATGTTGGCGAGGAATTCTGTCTTGGCCCGCCCTGCCTCCTCCAACTCCTCCTTTGACCTCTTCAGATCCTGCACACACGCTCGCACGCAGGGAGAGAGGGGGGAGCGGGGAGACGAAGGAGGGATGGTGTGAAGCAGAAGCAGCGTGGCTAACAAGCAAGCCAGGTGGATGTTTATTGCTCGTGCCCCTTGGCTCCAGCTGCCAACACATTCCCTCTCCCCTTTTCTTTTCACTGCCTGCATCTGCATGGTGCGTCTAGCCACCTCGCCCTCCAGCAACAGATTAAGCTGCCTCAGCCCCTCACGCTCAGCTTCACAGCTGCCTCCACCTCAAATCCTCCCCTCCCCCCTCCATCCCGTCCTCCCTCACCCCATTCTCACCTCATTCACTGCCTGCATCTGCTCGGTCCGTCTCGCCACCTCGCCCTCCAGCGACAGGTTCAGCTGCCTCAGCCCCTCTCGCAACCGTCTCGTGTCCCTCACAGCAGCCGCCAGCAGCACAGCGCCCAAGCTCAGCACCACCACCAGCACCTGCACCACTGTCCCTCTCGCCCTCTCACTCACTCACCTCATTGACTGCCTGCATCTGCTCGGTTCGTCTCGCCACCTCCCCTTCTAGAGAAAGGTTGAGCTGCCTCAGCCCCTCTCGCAGGCGCCTGGTGTCTCTCACAGCGGCCGCCAGCAGCACAGCGCCCAAGCTCAGCACCAGCACCAGCACCTGCACCTGCAGCACCGTCCCACTCGCCGTCTCCCTCACCAACGGCCCGCGCCCCTGCGCCGTGCAGAAGCACACAATGAGGACGACTATAACGAGTACGAGCCCCGAGCCCTTGCGGTGGAAGCGAATGCACGCCCAGAGGACCCCCGGGAAGAGAAGGTAGGGGAGGGCGGCAGTGGCAGTAGTGGCGGCAGGGACAGCAGTGGTGGTGGTGGAGGAAGTAGTGGGGGCTGCAGGGGTGGAGAAGATGAGACCAGCCGTGGCAGCGTTGAGCAGAAGCAGAAAGATGAACTCCCAGAAGCGCAGGGAGGCAAGGGTTTTGCAGATGCTGACCACCAGGGGGTTTTTCAGGAGTTTTTGCAGGTGGTAATGGATGGGGCGGCGGAGGGATAAATAGTTGGGGTTGGAGTGGGGGGGGTGGGAGGGGATGTGGGAAGGGAAGGGCAGAGTGCGGAAGGAGGGGGGGGTGTGGAGCCTTGCGCTGCTGCCTACCGTATCTCCCACCGACTCCAAGTCTGCCTCGCTCCCCACACCCTCTCTCCCCCCACCTACACCTGTCATCAGGCTTACGCGCCGTCGCCCGTGCTGCTCGCCCAGGGGCGGCTGGAGACGTGTGGAAGAAGCAAAGACGGAATTTGCTTCGGACCGAGGTGATTCAACAGCGCCCAGTTCCTCCTCCTCTTCCTGCCCCTCCTCCCGCTCCTGTCCCTGCTTCCCCTCCTGCCCCTCTTTCCCCTCCTTTCCCTCCTGGCTGGGCTGCCGGGCGCAGCAGCACAGGCAGGAGGCGGTGATCTGCAGGAGCAGCGGCACTGTCAGCATGATCCCCGTGAACGTCCCTAGCGTTCTTAGCCCTGCCGCCACTGCCACGCTGTCACCCGCCAGGTCAGCATCCCATGCGCTGACTACGACCGCGACGACCCCTTCGAAGAGCAGAGAGACCAGGAAGGAGAAGAGTGCGAAGAGGAAGATGTCTTTGACTCGGTCTAGAGGGGTGAGGTCGTGCGGGCGTAGGCGGTGCAGCACGCGTGTGAGGAAGAAGGAGAGGCAGAGCACGGAGGCTGTGAGGAAGGCAGCGATTGTGAGGGATGCGAGGGCGATCTGCAGGGTGGAGAGGTGTTCAGCGAGGTGCCATGCGGCCCCGGTGTACACGAGGAGTGCACCGCCCAGGAATATGCCCGGCCATGTGCCCATGCCGAACACCTAATAGCGAGGGGTGAGGGGGAGGAAGAGGAAGGATTGGCTCGTGGAGGAAAAGGAAACGGGATTTGAAACACCAGGAGCATGCTTGGGATAGGGTTTCAAGATGTAGGGCTGCCGGGTGGGATGGGGCTGCAAAAAGAAACAGGCGAGAAGATGCAAACATAGGGTTGAAGGAATAGGGCTAGGCTCACGAGCACGGCGTAGAGCGCGAGGCCAGAGGTGGGCCAGACGGGGCAGGGCACGAGCAGCGCGTCCCCGATCTTGCCCAGCCACGCCATGCCCAGCGACGCGCCGTACAGCACCAGCGCCACCAGCAGCAGCAGCAGCGCGCGCCAGTACCACCACAGCCGCCGCGCGTCCACGCAGAAGGGCCACAGCGGCCGATCGCCCCCGTGCACGAAACACGCTATGATGGCCGCGGAGGAGCATGTGGAGGGTGGGTCTGAGGTGCACGAGGGGTCTGTGGTGTCGGAGTCGGAATGGCTTAGCTCGACGTCGTCCTCCCCTGAACTGCTCCCTTCGTCATCACTTGACGAACGCTCTTCGTGATCGCCTCGTTCTCTACTCGCCCCGAAAGTCTCCACATCGGCCTCCTGTCTCCTCTCGCGACCCGTCTCTCTGTTTCCCTCGGTAACCTCCTCCCTCCCCCGTGGATCATCTGAGCCTGCCCTCGCTGCTGCTGAAAGCGCGTCAATCCCAAGGCTGCCTGTATCGCCGACGCCTGCTACCGCGCCGGACCGATCCCCCGCGGGTATTTCCGCGCTTGCGCCCTGCGCCTCGCGCGGTTCCCCCTGCTCCAGGTCCCAGTCTTCCGCGCGGAACGAGGCTAGCACGGGGAGGCCAGACAGTTCGCCTTGGCTTACCCGCGCAAGGTCCGCCTGCGGAGATTGGTCGATACTGATAACGGCCGCTTCGGTGATGCCACGTGGCAAGAGCCGTTCGTCCGGATAAGGAGCCTTGGTTGGTGGGTGCAGCAGAAGCTGCGGCGAGTCCATGCTGTTGGCTTCTGTCACGGCACCAAACAGCGGTTGCTGCTACTAGCACGAGTACTAGCAGCTCTCAGCAGGCGTGCTGATGCTGATACAGAGACATAATAGAACAACCGTGCTGTCGTAATCCATGGCGGCTCGTAAAAAAAAAGGCCTGCTTTCTCAAACAGATGGGTTACTTTCTAACGACCTGCACTTCAATCGAAAACGCCGAAATGGTGACGTGAAGAACAAAACTATCCCTACGTCGTACCTCTTATGTCAATAAGACTGTCAGCTAACTCCCTCGGACCTCACGGCTCGAAGTGTAAGAATCGAGCCACGCCAGAAAACGCCCAACGACTTTGTTTCAAGGATTGATCAGTGAAAGGAACCTTGCGTTGAGACTTTCCGCGATCGTTTTCGGCATGTCTGAGGCTACCAGAATCACTACAGTACAGACACGCACCCAACAAGAACAGTAGTATCGTACGGAGTGGTGGTGTTTTGTCGAGCGACAGGGGAAAGTGACCTGCCCAGATGGTGCTGGTCTTGGGGGTTGGGGTTGGATTGGGTGGGTAGGCGGGCACAGGGAACTGTTTTGGCCACAATATGATGGTGTAAGGAAAATCTCTTTTTCCTTACTTCGCGTCCCTGCTCAACGCGTACATCACTGTAGCACCACAGTCAGCACCGTTACCACTCGCAATCCTCGCATCGACAATCCGCCCGCCACCTTCGCACGTCGCACCCCGACCTCACGGCTCGGCGGGTAACCCGCGCTCCGGGCCTCCGCTTCGACACTTTTCCCAACCTCAGTCCCAAGCCCGTCGCGCGACAACCACAGTCCATTACCGTTACCACTGTAGTTTCGCTATATATTCTTCGCTCACGCCTTCGCTCATTGTACTCTTGCTTCGATAGTGCAATTCTCGTTCGTTCACTCAATTGCACTCGTAACACTTGGTATTCAGAGCCTACGACCTCTTCTCGGACCGCACCCACACCTTCGCTTCCCCACTATCTCAATTTTTGGGGGGGGTAGACGTCTCTCAGCGACACAGCACCGCCGCTCGTAGTGCTCTCTCGTAAGCACGCACGGCCACGACTGAGGCTCTCGCTGAGCTCGCCCGACACCCCCGCCATGGCCGAATTCACGCTCGCCACATTGACGCAGGAGCAGCTCGACCGTCTGGTGCGCCAACTCGAAGATTCGGCGCTCGAAATTGCGATGCTCACAGCGGAACGTGACTCCGCGCGTCAGCAATCAACGGTGAACACTCCAGCAGCACCACACGCACCAACAAATGCACCTGCACAATCGGACGAGCCAATCGTCATCTCGTCCGGGACACCAACATAACACGACAGCGTGGGACAGCGCTCGGGCGCAGCCAGTGATAGCGCCGCCCAACCAATGCCTGGCATGGGAGGAAACAGGGGCGCGCCAAGCCCGCGGGAGCCTCGCGAAGCCCGTCGGCACGTGGAGTTCGCGGCGACAAGTGGCGAACAGGCCATCATGGCACCAATGCCACTCAAGCCGCAACGCCCGCCCTGTTTCGACCCGAGCCAGCATGGAGGTCCAACGGTTCAATCGTGGGTTTTCACGATGAACGTCTTCTTCGACGCGAATTACGTCGAGTCGGACGCAGCGAAGATTCGGTATGCCGTTTCGCTGTTAAGGGGCCCCGCCATGGACTGGTGGCGAGTCATCGTGACGTCGCCACGCGCCTACGAGCCACCGTCGCAAGAGGAAGGGCCCACGGGTCCAGCTGTCACCTGGAGTTCATTCTGCGAGACCGCCCAATACAGCACGTGGGATGCGTGGTGCGCAGGGCTTCGGGCGCGCTTCGAGCCGATCGCGGCTTCTATTTCGGCGCGTCAGAGATTGCGCACTTGGCGGCAGCTCGGGTCGGTTCAAGATTACACGAGCGGTTTTCTCGCACTTTGCGAGCAGGTCGGCTACATGCACGAGGCGGAGCGGGTGGACCGTTACGTCGGAGGGCTGAAGCCGGATATCTCGCACGAAATCATGCTGCGCGGACTCTCAAACTTCAACGAGATTCTCGCGCTCGCCGAGAAAATCGACATTCTACGCCGACCGAGACCGGGGTCCTACTACGGACATCGTCCTCGGGGACCGATCGAGCACGCCACTGTAAACGCTGTTGCAACGAATGCAGCTGCCGCACCGTTTAAGGGGCGCTGCTTTGCTTGCAACAGGCCGGGCCATCGCAAGAGCGAATGCCCAGAGGAGCTAAGGCGCCGCGGAGCAGAGCAGGGGAGGGAGTCTCAGAGGCAGGGAAACGCCAGCAGTCAGTAGAAGTTGGGCCAACTACTGACGAGACTGCCTGCTCGCCCAACCGCACCGACCCTCACCGAGTCACAGTACCGATTCACGCCATCGATCGGGCTTGGATGAATAAGGAGGGTACAACGACGGATTGCCCAGTACTGATCCACGGGAAAATACAGGGAGCAGCAGTGAAGATTTTTATTGACGGAGGAGCAAGCCACAGTTTAGTTAATACCGCAACTGCGCGAAAATTACAACTGACACTTAGTCGCTGCTTACCTGAGATCGACGCACGCTTAGTTGACGGCACGCCGCTGGCCATACGGGAGAAGGTGGAGAGAGTAAAAGTTCGATGCGGGGGAAACTTCGGGTTTACACAGGAAATGCTCGCGACGACATTGGATGGACATGATGTTTTACTGGGACGTGATTGGCTACGACGGTACAACCCACAAATCGACTGGACGACGGGTAGCTGCACTGTGCGAAGTAGCGGTAACTGGGTCATGCTACCTCGCTGGCAGTCGCCCGAGTCTTCAACGGTCCACGTCAATGCCATCACGATGAAACGGGTTGTCGCCGCTGGAGCTGACGTGTACGCAGTAGATATAGCATTAGTAGGAGAAGCGGAGCAGCCGAGCGATTTTCAGAAACTGTTGGCAACAGTACCGCCCGAACTACAGGAACTGTTGAAACGGTACCCGGGGATTTTTCCAGACGACTTACCGGAAGGGATGCCACCTCAGCGGGCGCATGATCATAGGATCGAGTTAGAACCGGGGGCACAGCCAACTGTACAGCGCCAGTTCAGACTGACACAGCCCGAGCTCGACGAACTGAGGAAGCAGTTAGATTATTTGTTAGAGAAGCAGTTTATTCGACCAAGTTCGTCACCGTTCGCCGCACCGATACTATTCATACCAAAAAAAGATGGAGGGTTTCGTATGTGCATCGATTACCGAGCGCTCAACAGGGTAACAGTCAAGTCGCGGTACCCCATTCCCCGCGCCGACGAACTGATCGACCAACTGCAAACAGCACGGGTGTTTTCGAAAATAGACTTACGGGGGGGTTACCATCAGATTCGGGTCGAACCATCGGACTGCGCCAAGACAGCATTTAGGACTAGGTACGGGTCGTTTGAGTACACGGTGATGCCTTTCGGGCTGACCAACGCGCCCGCAATATTTCAGATGACCATGAACGAGGCGTTTAGGCCACTCTTAGATAAATGCGTGATAGTTTACCTCGACGACATCCTCGTCTACAGTCGCGACAAGCAGCAGCATTTAGCGGATCTCGAAGCAGTATTTAAAGTTTTAGAGGAACATCGATTACTAACCAAGGGCTCTAAGTGCGAGTTTTTTCGGGACAAACTAGAATTTTTGGGGCACGTTATTTCGGAGGCTGGAGTTGAAATCGACCCAAAGAAGCTGGATACGGTAAAAGCGTGGCGTCCCCCGACGAACATCACGGAACTGCAGAGTTTTTTAGGGTTCGTTAATTATGTTCGTCGGTTCGTCCCCGACATGGCACAGTTGACTGCCCCGCTGACGGATTTACTGCGAAAGGGGGTCGTTTTTACGTGGGGGGAGAAAGAGCATGCTGCCTTCTCTGCCCTGAAAAATGTTCTCTGTTCACCGCCCGTCCTGCGCATCGCCGACCCACACCGCCCCTTCGAGGTTGTTACAGATGCAAGCGACATCGCCATTGGAGCCGTACTGCTACAGGACTTCGGCAACGGCCTACAGCCCATCGCATACGAGTCACGAAAACTGCATCCGCCCGAGCGAAATTACCCGATACACGACCGCGAAATGCTCGCGATCGTGCATGCGTTCAAAGTGTGGCGCTGCTACTTGACCGGCGCAGACGTGACAGTACGGACAGACCACCGATCACTACAGTACCTCCGCGCACAGCCCCACCTCAACCCACGACAGATTCGGTGGCTCGATTTCCTCGAGTCAAACTTCCACTACACAGTCACCTATAAAAAAGGAGCCTCGAACATCGCCGACGCACTGACCCGCCCCACTGCCCAGATCCACGCGATACTACTCGCCCAGACCAGCCCGCTACTGACAGGACTATTTACCCACGGATATCAAACGGGGCCATTCTTCACAGGAGGAAATTCGCAGCAGTTCGCAGCAGCCAAGGGAGTCTATTACGTAAAAGCCGGGACCGACCGCATCTGGGTACCAGGGTACACACTGCTACGGGAATTACTATTACAGGAGGCACACGACGGGGTTACCTCGGGACATTTCGGGGTAGAGAAAACACGGCAGCAGCTGCAGCGGTATTATTACTGGCCCGAAATGTTGACCGACGTGCAGCGACACGTGGCATCGTGTCCCACTTGCCAGATCATGAAGTCAACACGGAAGCGGCCGGCGGGACAGTTGCAGCCAATCCCACCTCCAGAGCGTGCTTGGCAGCAGGTGACGATGGACTTCGTCACGGGGTTACCGGCCGGGGCGAGTGGAAATGACGCGATCCTGGTCGTCGTCGATCGACTGACGAAAATGGCACACTTCGCAGCCTGCAAAAAATCAATCACAGCCGAAGAAACAGCCCGCCTCTTCATCTCTACCGTCGTTCGACTGCACGGGATACCAGCATCAATCATCAGCGACAGAGACACGAAATTCACCAGCAACTTCTGGCGGAACCTGTGGCAGCAGTTCGGCACGCGACTACAGTTTAGTTCATCGTACCACCCCGAAACAGACGGACAGACAGAACGGACAAATCAGACCATGGAACAGCTCATCCGGGCCACGTGCGACGACCCAAACACGTGGGAACAGCAACTGCCACTCATCGAATTCGCATACAACAACGCCCCATCCGCCACGACCCAACAGTCACCGTTTTACCTGAATTACGGACAAGACCCAACAGTACCCATGACCCCGAATCCCGACAACCCGGTTCCACGCGCGCAACAGTTCGCCGAAATTTTGCAAGCAGCACGAACCAGGGCAGCAGACGCAATTAAAAAAGCTAACATCATCGCTAAACGCAACGCGGACCGCCACCGCAGACCTGTCACTTACCAGCCCGACGACTTAGTTTTGCTCGACACCCAAAATCTCCGACTGCCCATCACCCTGAAACTCCGCCCCCGATACTGCGGGCCATTTCGCATAAGCCACATGCTTACACCTGTCACCGCCCACCTCCTCCTCCCTGCTGACTGGTACGTCAGCCCCCACGTCAGCCTGCTTCGCCCTTACGTCCCGTCCACGAGCCAACTGCCACGCAATCGCCCAGCCAGCATGACAAGACCACCGACTGAACCAATCATCACCCCCGAGAAAATCCTGAGTCACAGAGTTCGCGACCCTCGAGGAGCCCGAAGGATCGAGTTCTTACTCCGCTGGAAGGACCGTACACCCACCGAAGACAATTGGGTTCCCCTGGACAGAATCAGAAACCACCCCGTCCTCACCGAGTATCTGCGCAGCCGGAATTTCAGGGATGTACACGCACTTTCGTAAGGAGGACCTCCTTAAGGGGGGGGGGGTAGTGTAAGGAAAATCTCTTTTTCCGTACTTCGCGTCCCTGCTCAACGCGTACATCACTGTAGCACCACAGTCAGCACCGTTACCACTCGCAATCCTCGCATCGACAATCCGCCCGCCACCTTCGCACGTCGCACCCCGACCTCACGGCTCGGCGGGTAACCCGCGCTCCGGGCCTCCGCTTCGACACTTTTCCCAACCTCAGTCCCAGGCCCGTCCCGCGACAACCACAGTCCATTACCGTTACCACTGTAGTTTCGCTATATATTCTTCGCTCATGCCTTCGCTCATTGTACTCTTGCTTCGATACCGTCATCGCCCGGATATAAGACAGTGTTGAATAGTAGACAGGGGTTGTCTACTATACGGGTGTCTCTTATAAACAGGCAAGCCTTTTTATACGACACCTATTTGTGTGTACGAGATAAGACATATATGTCTTATAATCAGAACCGGGGTTTAGGGGTTTTCTTATAAACAGGGGGTGTCTTCTAAACGAGCCTACACTACTTTAGGGGGGTACATCCATACATTCATGAATCCCTACTTCTACCTAACCTCCCTCAGTAACCGCCTCCTCTGCAGCACTAGCAACAGGCTCTACGCCCAGGTCTGGCACTCGCCAGGCATGCCTAGCCGTCTCCCTTGGCTCGATCATGCGGTCAGCCTCGGCCGCCGCTCCGCGGTAGTTGGGGGTCTCCTGGTACAGCACCTCCAGGCCAGTTGCCACGGCCACCTCCCGCACGCCCTCCGCCTGCATCGCCTCCTCCTCCTCCTCCTCCTCCTCCTCCTCCTCCTCCTCCTCCTCCTCCTCCTCCTCCTCCTCCTCCTCCTCCTCCTCCTCCTCCTCCTCTGGAGCCTTCCGAAGCAGGCGCGTGTTGTCGCCTGTGGTCCCCCCGAGGGACATGTCCTCGGAGACATCGGTGGTGCTCCTGGCGCGCAGGTGAGACATCACCAGGTGGTTCTCCGTTCCGTCCAGCTTGCTGGAGATCCCACAGTGGCGGAACGCGTCGATGATGATCTGCCTGGGGACTTGATCCCAAGCCTCCGCGATCCACTGCAGCACCACGGGGTGCGGAGGCCTCCGCAGGTTCCCTGCGGGTGGGACAGAGGACACGGCAGCGAGATGTTAACGATAAGGACACGAAACTGAGCAGGAATTTAAAATGACCAGCCAATTCACCCTTCTTCGTCTTCAGGTGAATCCCTTCACACATGAACCACCTGGCGTAGCGCGTTCGCACGGCAGCCTTGAAGCACCGGTTGATGGAGACGTCCAGGGGTTGAATCTGGCTCGTACAACCCGCTGGAATGACTGCAGGGGTGATGCTGTGCGTGCGGTACGACTGAAGCATGGTCTGGGTGATGTGGCCGCGGTAGGAGTCCAACACCAGCATCGCACGCCTCGCGCTCTTGCCGCGCTGGGGGTTCAGATGGGGAAGCACCTCCTTGGACAGCCAGGTCTGCAGAGCGCTCTCGTCCATCCACCCGTTGTCCTGTGCTTGGACCACGATTCCTGCCAGGCACACAAGGGACAGACGGACATCAGCACAGTGGGGCACGCTCATGAGGCAGGGGCAAGGTTGAAGTCATGGCGCTTACCGTCCGGAATCTCACAGTTGGGGACGTTCTTCATCTTGAACCACACTCACGGCCGCAGCTTCTCCCCGGATGCAGTGCACGCGAGCATCACCGTCAAGCGCGTCTTCTGGTAGCCTGCAGTGCGGATTGGGACCGAGCGCGCGCCACGGTGCTCGATCGTCCTCTCGGCCGGCATCTCCACGAACAGTGGCGTCTGGTCCGCGTTGATGATACGGGCCAGGTCGATGTTGTGCCGCGCCCTGTTGATGCGCACGAACTTCCAGAAGGACTCGCAGTCCTTTGCGCACTCTGCAAACGGGAGAGGAACAGAAGCGAGGGACGGTTAGACAACGAGCAAGGTAAGACATGCATACAATGGGCCGTGCGCGGCACGAACTCCTTATCCACGCACCTGCCGACAGACGTTGTCCGACCTTCGTCTTCACCCGCATCACCAGGTTCCAGCGGTCACGGAAACGCTGGCTCCAGTGAGAGCTCGCGTTCCAGTTCTTGCCGGGGTAATGCTTCTTCATCCACTCGCGGCTCCACTTTTGGGTGTCCTTCACCGAGATGGCCACCCCGTTAGCGCGCTGAAGGCAGATGTAGCGGTACAACGCTGCCTCCATGTCGGGGTAGTGTGCGTGGCGGCCCCCCCCGTGCATCCGCTTACGGCAGTTAGCCGCGCCCTTGTAGATGCCCGCAGCCGCCTCCGCGCACCAGCGTCTGATGCAGGCGACGCTCGCGGTTGACTCCAAGCTAGTCTTCTTCAAGGAGACGAGCTCCTGATAGCGGCGCGCCCACTTAACCTTCTCACGCACGGTCCAGCCGCGGCGCTTCTTCGTAGTGTCTTTGCTGCGAGGGGAAGGTGGGCGGGTGTTGGGATTATGGAGGGTGGGGTCCTTCGGCGCCTCCTTCTCAGGGAACGTGGGAATCGGGCCCGCCGCCGCCGCGTACTCATCGTCGCTGCCCAACGCCTCGTTGACGATGATGTCGTCAGGATTCGGCGCCTTCTTCGCCTTTTTCTTTGCCGCACCCTTGCTGGATCCAGGGTCTCCGTCGTCCTTGCGCTTCTTGTTGCTTGTGCGGCCACGAGCAGGGGCCTTTGCAGGGGCCTTAGCAGGGGACTTAGCAGGGGCTTCCACGACCTTTGCCTTTCCCTTCTCCGCAGCGGTGAGTAGGGGGCGACGCTCCTCCCCGGGACTGTCGTCGTCACAGAGCACCACGCGGGCGCGCTTCGTCGTGGACTGTAGGCGATGGCGCAAGCTCCGCTTCAGTAGCGGAACGTCGTCGTCTGTCCCAAGGCTCCACGGGTCGTCGTCGTCGCCCTCACCCTCAAATAAGACGGCATCCGCAGCCACCTTGTCCGCCTCCGCCACCGCGTCCGCATCCGCAGGCGCCTCTGTCTCGAGTTCCGCCGCCGCCTCGTCGGCAGCCTCATTCGCATCCACCGCCGCTTCCTGTGCCTCCACGTTATCACCGCCAGCATCTTCACCTCCGTCGTTGTCGGAATCACCAGCCCGCCACTCTTCCACCTCGTCGTCGCTCCCGACCGGCTGATTCCACCATTCGTCCTCCTCGATGTCGGCAGTACCAAATTCGTCGCCCGAAGCGCTGTCATCGTGGCCGTTCTCCGGCCAATCCTCCTCGGCGTCGTCGCCGTGTGCTTCGTCTCCGTCTTCCCCGTCACAGCTCGCACCGGAGGCGGCGGTAGGACTTCCCGCCTTGCTCGCGTTCTTCGCCATGGCTACGCGGATGTCATCGCCGGGCGAGTACCTTGCTGCGCATGGTTAGAGAGCCTGCCGAGAGCAAGGTTGAGGTGAGAATTCAACCTCCATGAGCACCAAATGAAGTGAAAGCCCGACTACCCCCCCCAGCCAGAGTGCCCCATCCACAGGTGCCGAGCCGCTCCTCTACGAGGCATCTCCTCGTAGAGGACAGCCTGACGCTGCCAACGTGCTGCCAGCAGCGTTCTGGAAGCTGCCATGCGCTGCTGGCAGCAAAACGACGCTGGCAGCATCATTAGATGCTGCCAGCACAGAGGAATCTTGCCAGCGGTGGCAGCTTTGCTGCATCACCACCGAGGTCGGCCTGTTTCAATGAATCTGGTCCCTGGGTGTTTTCTACACACTTTGCAAGTGTTACAGTCAACTTAAAATTTTTTCCATTTATAAGAATTATAAGACACCCTAAACCATCCCGTTTACAAGATAACTCAAGCATTTTTGCCCGTGTACGAGATAAGACATATATGTCTTATATCCGGGCGATGACGGTAGTGCAATTCTCATTCGTTCACTCAATTGCACTCGTAACAGATGGTCACTGGTTACTAATCGCGGTGTAAGGAGCCCTCAACTCAATAGTGGAGTCAATACTGGTGTACTATACAAAGTTTGTCAAGGAGAAAAACCAGTCACTACCTGTAAGAACAGTATAGAATCCATTATACTATTTACGTTATTTAATGCAAATATGGTCCCGCAGGAGCTGCTAGAAGCCAAGCTTGTATTCCATTATCTCATGCAAGTCCACACGGGGAATTTCCACCTTATCCCCATATCCTGCAAGATCAGAAAGAAACTTTATTAGGAACGTAAACAGAGGTAAAAGTTCACGAAGATGTGATGGCTTACAATGGCTAGATTGTAGCAGTTTGAGGGAATGCACTAGGGGCCACTTACCAACCACATCTTCCACTGCGAGCTCATCAAGAGTACCCATCATTGAATGCAGGCCCAGGTGGGATGATGGCAGACCGGGCAACCTCTTGAATCTGAAAACCCATAAGTGGAAAACACATGAATCAGTGCAGATTTCGTCATCACCATGCCGCCAGCGAAGAGACACAAGCAGCAGCAGCCTCAATGATTCATGTCCAGGACGGAATATCTGGACATTGATCAGCCTTACTTGGAAAGTATTTGCCGCTCCATGTGCAGCTGAGCAGGGAAAGCGGAACCGTAGACCCTACCCAAGTTCATGTCAACAGATCCCTCCTGCTCCTTCCTTCTCTGAAAACAGAAACTCAGAGACAATAAGACCGAAAAACGTCAGGGGGCTATCAATACCTATTCATTCGTTGCGCAAGGATCATCTCTCGGCCTATAGGTGTTATGGCCAGACGAAAAAGGTAGTCGAACTAGCAAGCCATAAGGTGACGACTGCTACAAAACAATATCTCTTGTACACAGATGATTCGTATACGTGAAATCTGGTGCGCAAGCGTTTAGGGGTAGCCATATGTGGGTAAACGAACACAGGGGAGGCGGACAGCGTGAGCGAAGGTCATACCTGGATAAAGGTGCGCAGACGTACTCGCCATAAGGATCGGGGAAAAAAGCCATCACCCACCTGTCTCTGAATTCCGTCTACTGGATGAGCAAAAGTCACTTCGTCGCGAAGCTGATGGAGACCAGATCGCAGAACATCGCGAGGAGCCTCAAGATGCGGAAGGGACATGCTTGGATCCTGATCGAAATAAGTGACAAAGTATCACAAAAACCGCACGTCAGTTGGCACGTAAGCTATCGACCTAATGGAGCGAGCGCGAAACGGGGACTAGCTACTGCACAAAAGCTCCTTACCATTGCTTGTCGTGGTTCCTGGAAAGCTTTCTGAAGCCAACAATTTCACAACAACAATCGAGCCTTGAAGCAGCAGAAAGTCGATTATCGTCCCCGCTAACAGGTACCTTGCTGGTTGAACACATACATACCCTATGTTTCTGTAGTGCATACAGACTGGCATAGGGCATCTTCTTTTTGAATGATTGTCTTCACTGACTAACATGTGAAACAAACACACCTTCAAATGGCATCTTCTTTTTGAATGACTGTCAACTGAATCAGCTTCTGGTTTGCTTGATTATGCATTTTCCGATCTAGTGTTTGTTTGGAACCAGGATTTTGTCTTATTTCATACAAATTCGACACAAACTCTACAATACATTATATAGAAATACATATATATATAGCCTAATAACATTACAAAAATATATAAGTTATATATATAAGCTACACCATTTTAGCTTTTGCACCAATCCGAGCAACAAATAACTCAAAAAATGGGTTCATTGCCTTCAAGTTGCTCAAAGCACAAGCGGGTGGAAACACGGATTGCAGTCGACATTCAGTGGGACGCAGGGGCTTCATTTCGCCTTGAGTGCAATTCCATGTATGCCCCCTTTCGCTCCATCAGCTGCTCGTGTGTGCCGACCTGAGAGCATGAACCAGCGAAAATGAATATGCCAATGAGCAAAGCGGGTCGGCTGGACAAATGTACCGGACTTCCCAGTCGGCCGGACAAATCCACTGGACAAATGAAGAAGTGCTCCACTCACCTCGATGATCTTCCCATGAGACACAACCACTATTCTATCGGCAGAACGGATGGTGGATAGCCTGGTCATGGGCAACAGGGAGCATGATGTCAGGGATGAAAGTGGGGGGAGAGAGAGAAAGAGCAGCGAACTTTACGGAACAAGTGGGTAGCATGGGTTGAGGAGCGTGGCTCCATGACAAGCATGCACTGGCTGAGAAGATATCGATGGAGAGGAGAGGAAAGTTTGCCTGGCTGGCCACAACATACCGGTATGCAATGACCACTCTGGTTCGCCTTCTGCTCCCACTTGCATGGGAGTCGTCATGAATGACTTGCTTCAATGCCATCTGCTCATGCACACACAAAAAAGCAGATGCATATTTACAGACCAAGGGGGCAGCAGCAATGGTTCATGGAAGCAGCAGCCCGGAGGAATGAAGGGACGGCAAGGGTTGACGGGACAACAGACCCTTCATTCTCCGAGAATCATTCTCAAATCCAGTGCTCATGCACTCTCCCATCACCCCCTCACCTACACATACTTCCCGTTCTCCCACCTATCCTCCCTCCACTCCCTCACTCCCCATCCCCCTCACCTGCACGTAGTGCTCGCTCTCAGCATCCAAAGCACTTGTGGCCTCATCCAGGAACAGCAGCTTGCTCACTCTTTTCACCCCATAGCACACTTTCCACTCACCCCCACCCCCTCTCCCCACCTCACCTGCACGTAGTGCTCGCTCTCAGCATCCAGAGCACTCGTAGCTTCATCCAGGAACAGCAGAGTGGGGTCGCGCACTAGAGCCCGGGCAATCGCTATTCTTTGCTTCTGCCCGCCGCTCAGCCGCGCGTTGTCCACCACTGTGTCATAACCCTCGGGCACGTATGCAATGTTGGATGCCAAGTCTCTGCTGAATAGAAGGGGCTCCTGAGGAAGAGCATGCAGAATGGGGAGGGAGGAGGGCACGAGTGTTGATACTACTCAAGTGTGCATGGTCCAGGTGCACATGTGTGGCTGGAGGCTAATCCATCATAAGCCTGAATCATTTGCCATACATACATGAATTGTGTGGTGAGAGTGGAGAGTGTGTGGTGAGAGAAGTGAGTGTGTGGGTTTAGATGGATCAGGATGGGTCTGGATGGATAGGGATGATTTTGGATGGGTGGGGATGGGGCAGGCAGGGAGGCGAGCTCACCTGGCTGACGACCCCAATGTGGCTTCTCAGCCATGCGATGTCAACCTCTGGTAGAGGCACGTCGTCTATAAGCACCTGTGAACAGACAGATGGAGGAGTTACAGACAGTATGAATCATGCACAACGGTATCTACCATCAATATACCTCCAACTACAGCCACCCGCATGTCACTCACCTCCCTTCATCTCACCTGCCCCTCTGTGGGCTCGTAGAGTCGCTGCAGCAGCCTAAGGAGGGTGCTCTTGCCGCTGCCGTTGTGCCCCACCAGTGCCACCAGCTCGCCTGGCTGGATGGTCAGGCTTATGCCCTCCAACACAAGAGCCTGCAGGGGGCGTGGGGGAGGGAGGGAGGGAGGGAGGGAGGGAGGGAGGGAGGGAGGGAGGGAGGGAGGGAGGGAGGGAGGGAGGGAGGGAGGGAGGGAGGGAGGGAGGGAGGGAGGGAGGGAGGGAGGGAGGGAGGAAGATAGTTGGCGGGCGCACCTCAGGGCAGACTCGATGTTCGAAGCCGGATAGAGAGCAGTTGGTACAAACACGTAGAGCGACTGGTATTCTCATGTAGAGCAGTTACCTCACAATGGTGCTTTAAGCAAGGCGGGTGGGCGCACCTCAGGGCGGGTGGGCGTACCTCAGGGCGGGTGGGGTAGCGGAAGGAGAGATCGCGGAACTCCAGCTTGCCGCTCAGCGACGGCAGCACTCGGCCTGGAGAGAGACAGGGAGGCAGCAGAGGAGGGATGAGAGCATGGGAGGGACGGCAGCATGCGGCACGAGTGATTCACACACGAGTGAGAGCCACAATCGCCTTTAGCCAGCACTCATTAGGCCCTGAGTGAGCAGTCCCACTCATCATCACCTTGACTCCCATGCACGCACGCACACTCATCGTGCCCCTGAGTGACATGCTTCGGATTTGGCAGGTCGGGCAGTTGGAAGACCCGGTGGCAGGCGGCGATTGAGTCCATGAGAGTGGCCCAGTGGTCGCCCGCGCAAGCCATGCTGCGCACTCCTATCCCTGTGCACTCGCACTCACCACGACCCTGAGTAGTCAGCTGCTCCGGGTGCGGCAGGTCGAGCAGTTGGAACACGCGGTGGCAGGCGCCGATGGAGTCCATGAGGGTGGCCCAGTGCCCGCCTGCACACCACATGTTGTATGCCATCTAGTCTGTGCACGCACACTCACCATGGCCTTGATTGAGCTGCTCTGGGTGTGGAAGATCCAGCAGCTGAAACACGCGGTGGCAGGCGCCGATGGAGTCCACGAGGGTGGCCCAGTGGTCGCCCGCACACCACATGTTGTATGCCATCCAGTCCGCGTACATCACAAACTGCGTCACCTGCTCCGCTGATATGCGCCCTGTCGTTAGCGCTCCCCCGGCCATGATCACCACTGCCACCTGCAGGGTGGGGAGCGGTGGGGGAGTGTGTTGGGACGTGTCAAAACGAGAGTGGCCCAGTCACAGAGCTCGTCAGCGCACCACATGTTGTAGGCCATCCAGTCCGCATACATCACAAACTGCATCACCTGCTCCGCTGATATGCGCCCTGCCATCAGTGCCCCGCCCGCCATTACAACTACTGCCACCTGCAGGGTGAGAAGTGGGATGGAAGTTCTTGAGCCGACTCAAAAGTCATTACCAGCCATTGCGCGACTAGTGCCACATGCACTGGCACGTAGAATGCATCATCATGGGCCAAGCAACACCGCGGCCCATGCACCACCATGGGCCATGCACCACCATGGGCCATGCACCACCATGGGCCATGCACCACCATGGGCCATGCACCACCATGGGCCATGCACCACCATGGGCCATGCACCACCATGGGCCATGCACCACCATGGGCCATGCACCACCATGGGCCATGCTCCACCATGGGCCATGCACCACCATGGGCCATGCACCACCATGGGCCATGCACCACCATGGGCCATGCACCACCATGGGCCATGCACCACCATCAGCATGCACCACCATGGGCCATGCACCACCATCAGCATGCACCACCATGGGCCATGCACCACCATGGGCCATGCACCACCATGGGCCATGCACCACCATGGGCCATGCACCACCATCAGCATGCACCTGCCTCAGCATGTACTACCATGGAGGTGTTATAGACAATGTTGTCAGCGCATGTCCACAACCCATTCGCCACACTCCGCCGCAGCCCCACCTCCACTAGCCTCCGGAGAGGCTCGTCGTACCTGGCAAGGGAAGGCAAGGCAGGGAAATGCAAGGCAAGCACAAACGCATTTGCATAGAGTTTGGAAAGGATGTTATAGTTCGTGCACTCCAAGCAGCCAGTGAATAAGAAGAAATGCAGCGCATTGGAATGGAAATACAGGAGATGAAGGACCTACGGTTTAGCAAACAGGACAGCCCCCCTTGCCGCCTGACAGCCCCACTTGCCGCCTGACAGCCCCACTTGCCGCCTGATAGCCCCCCGTCCTCTCCTCCTCACCTCTTCACCTCCTCGCTCTCTGTGCCAAACGTCCGCACCACTCGAACGAGAGACACCGTCTCCTCTGCAACCTGGAAAGTGGGGTCATTGGTGGTGTGGATGGGTGTGGACGGGTGTAACTACCATGAGAATTCAAGGAAGAAAGTATCATGGGCGATATGAGGTAGGGGCTCACAGATCGGATACAAAGCTTGCATCACCCGAATAAAGCGTCACCCTGATACTGAGTCGTGCAGAAATTGGGTCAGTAGGAGGAGGTGGGCGCACCTCATTGGCTGCTGCCTCATTGTCTTGTAACACCATGGAGCTCAGTCGGGAGAAACTGCATGGTGAGACAGGCGGAGAGCAGGGCAGACGAGAAGCAGGGAAGGCAGAGAGCAGGGCAGACGAGAAGCAGGGAAGGCAGAGAGCAGGGCAGACGAGAAGCAGGGCAGACGAGAAGCAGGGAAGGCAGAGAGCAGGGCAGACGAGAAGCAGGGAAGGCAGAGAGCAGGGCAGACGAGAAGCAGGGAAGGCAGAGAGCAGGGCAGACGAGAAGCAGGGCAGACGAGAAGCAGGGAAGGCAGAGAGCAGGGCAGACGAGAAGTAGGGAAGGCAGAGAGCAGGGCAGACGAGAAGCAGGGAAGGCATAGAGCAGGGCAGACGAGAAGCGGGGAAGGCAGAGAGCAGGGCAGATGGAGAGCAAGGAAGCACGGAAGGAAGGCAAGGACTATTGGACCACCAAGACACTTCGGCTGGATATCCGGAGAGAAGGACAACAGCGAGTTGGTTGGGAGGCATGGAGGAGGGGTGGAGGAGGGGTGGAGGAGGGGTGGAGGAGGGGTGGAGGAGGGGTGGAGGAGGAGTGGAGGAGGGGTGGAGGAGGAGTGGAGGAGGGGTGGAGGAGGAGTGGAGGAGGGGTGGAGGAGGAGTGGAGGAGGGGTGGAGGAGGAGTGGAGGAGGGGTGGAGGAGGAGTGGAGGAGGGGTGGAGGAGGAGTGGAGGAGGGGTTTGGGAAAGGGCATGGTGAAGGAATGAGGGCATGGTGAAGGAATGAGGGCATGGTGAAGGAATGAGGGCATGGTGAAGGAATGAGGGCATGGTGAAGGAATGAGGGCATGGTGAAGGAATGAGGGCATGGTGAAGGAATGAGGGCATGGTGAAGGAATGAGGGCATGGTGAAGGAATGAGGGCATGGTGAAGGAATGAGGGCATGGTGAAGGAATGAGGGCATGGTGAAGGAATGAGGGCATGGTGAAGGAATGAGGGCATGGTGAAGGAATGAGGGCATGGTGAAGGAATGAGGGCATGCGGTGGCCTGCGACATGCAACAGGCATAAACACGGTGGGTTTGTGAGGGGGTTCCCAGCATACCCCACCCCGTTCCTCCCATTCACCACCCCCTCCCTCATTCACCACCCCCTCCCTCATTCACCACCCCATCCCTCCCTTCCCAACACCCACCAGCAGCGAGTGCCGCAGCACGATGTTGAGATCGCTGCCCATCGTGTATCCCGCAGCCTGGCAGTCGGAGCCGAGGCGGGATGTGAGGTCGCCCATGTTGTAGAGGACTCTCCTCTACTTTGCAGGAACTGGGAGTTGTTCTAAACGATAGAGCTCTGTCTTAGCTTTCCAACGAGCCGTCAAACACGTCGATCGCCTAAGTATTCTCCGAGATATAGGCGTTCACGTGCTAGGTGGTGCTCTTGAATGCAAGTAAAGAAGCTCTCTGGAATTTGTGTTCGAATGTACCTTGTACAAAGAACTCTGAGTTTCACTATGATGGCATGCAATACAAAGAAAACAGATTTATAGCATGCAAACAAGATCGAATCGCACAAGTAACCTCGAACCGCTACACTCGCGAATGTTCGAGTAACATCGAAAGGGTGAAATTCGACTCTCGAATTTCACCGATCCGAATTCTCCTTGGGTCTCGAATGTTCCTGGTGCTGCCATGTGGCACCGAATCGAATGGGTCTTCCGAAGTCAATCCTCAACCCGCAACTCACTCGAAGGTGAGCACAAGTCACACATTCGGTGGGTTGGGGGCATACAAACGCCCCACCACCACCTTGCTTCCAACACACGTAATCTCCAACAGCCCACCGACTGGCCGTCAAAGAAGGCAATGTCCTGCCGGATGAGCGTCTCGTACAGCGCCAGCCGCATTCGCCGCATCTAAATGAGACACCGTGGGAAGCAAGGGAACGCGGGAGAGGGAGAGTATGAAGGGGGGAGAAGCAGATTGGGTTTGACGATGCCAAAGGGAGCATGTGAGAGCGTAAGAGCAAGAGCACAGAGCGAGAGCGTGTAGCATGGAAGAGAGTAAGAGCTAGAGTGTGTTGAAACAGCAGGTGCAGTGCCGGTGCGCGTGAGCTCACCAATTGGACATTGAAAATGGTGAAAGAGGCAGCCCTCAGCCCACTGCACGGATCACGGCAGCACGAGCACAGGAAAGAGCAGGTACCATCAGAACATGGTTAGAACACGCACGCACTCACGCAGCCACCGGAACACGGCAGACAATCACCTGAAGAGGCCGCAGGCAAGAGTCATGGCGATGAGGAGGCGCACGTTGTGGTTGAACTGATCTGTGAGCCCGTGAGACGCGTTGAATATGGCCGCCGCTAGGTAGTGCGGTATGGCCACCTCTGATAGCTGGTGGCGCACGGATGAGAGCGGGAGGGGGATAGGTGGGGGAGAAAGGAGAGAAGGGGGTCACATTGACGGCTGGGAGGGGAGGGGAAGGGAGGAAGAGGAGGGGAAGGAAGGGGAGAAGGAGCTCCAATGGAGGTGGAGGGAGAGGAAGGGAGGAGGACTGACGGCGGCGAGGGCGAGGCAGAGTGAGGCGAGGACGAGCATGGTCCTGTTGGGCGCGCAGAACCGCCAGAGCTTGCGAATGGCGTCCCACAGCTCGCCTCGCCGTGGATTCCCGTCCCCGCGGCTCCCATTCCCGCTCCCACCACTCCCACTGCTATCCCTACCGCTGCTGCTATCGTTGCTGCTGTTACCGCTGGCCCATTTCCCGCGTGCTGCCTTCCGTCCAGCCAGCTGCTGCAGGTCCCACCAGCTCCCGCCTGGCAGCACGGCGCGCAGCATAGTAATGGCCCGCCGCAATGGCGCTGGGACCCTGCGCGTTCCGCGCCTAAACGTCTCCGAAAAACCCGCAGTTTTATCCGGCGGTACGGCATTTCGTTGAACCACGTTCTCCTCTGGCTCAGTGTCGTCTACGAGACGCTCGGAACCATCATTTTGCGGTTTCCGTTTCCGCATCGTCGTAGGGAGTCTGTTCTCGTCCTCTATGCCTGTATCGGGGGGCATTTGTACCTGATTCGTATGATTAGTAGGACATTCAGCGCCTTCAGGATATAATTACGATACAATTTCAACCAGCTAAGAACCTTCGGCTTGCGGCTTCCCTTGGTCAAGAACATTCCGGGGGTCATGACCTGAATTTGTTCCAGGGATTTGGTGACACATTCCAGTCGTGCGAAGTTTTAAGCGGTATATTTTTGTAACGAATGGTTTCTCTAAGTAACAGTACGTTGCAGAGCGGTGACGGTCCGGACTTTCACGGCTTCTACATTGCAGAGGTTGGAGTGTGAAATTGCCCCCTTTTGTCACAACCATCTGGCTCTCTTGTTCTCTCCGCTTCGCGCAGCGCTGTGCGCACCGCTCCGCGCGCCCCCTGTTCTGCGAAAAGCTGCCAAACCCCGCGCGTTCGCCGCGGAACCAGCCCAAGTCAAATCTCACGAACCAATGACAAAGGTGGTGGTGGCCCAACTCTCGTCACCCATGATCTCTTGAACTTGAAGTTATAGACGAGGGAGGGTAAATGGTAAGGAGAAAGAAAGAAAACACCTAGAAAGAAAAGGTAAGATCAAAGTAAAACCAAGCTGAAAAGCAAAAACAAGTTGAAAGGAAATCTTGAAGTATGGAGTAATTAAGAATGAAGAAAGTTTTGAAGGAGAAGATAGATAGACTTGATAGGGATAAAAGGGACCAAACAAGATTGGCTTAAAAGAAAGTATTGAAGAAAAGGTAAAGGGCTTGAAAGATACTTGAAAGGAACTTGTAACGAACTTGAGAATAAGAACTTGATTATTATGGAAAGAGCTTGAATATAAAACAACTTGATAATAGCAAATGAACTTTGATGTAAAAGAAACTTGGTGAAAAATGAGAGGAAGGGATAACCACTTACTTGAAAAGAGTTCTTACTATTATGTTGTAGAAGTTGATCTTCACTTCAAGCTTAAATGTTGTCTTAGTTGTTAATGAAGAACCTCAAAGCTTGAATGTTGAGAAGTTGATCTTGAATGTTGACTTGTAGATAATGTTTGTTGAATGAAGAGAAACCTCCAAGCTTGGATGTTGAGGTTGGAGCTTGGACCTTGGGTAGAAGAATACACCAATCTTGCTTGAAGCTTTAAAGTACATTAATCAAAGGGAGGTACATGGTAGGATCTTGAGATCAACTATCCTTGATGATCTAGAAGTAAAACTATGTGGCACAAACTTCTCTAGAATTGGAGCATATGGCTATGAGCTTGGGTTGGGAGAGGTTGGTGGTGATGATGAAGCCTTAGGAGTTGGAGCATAAGGAGGAGGACTTGAGGTTGGCCTTGAGGGAGTTTGAAGAACTTGTTGAGAGTTTGGGTATGAAGTAGCATTGAAGAAATTTTTTTTTGAAGAAATGAAGAGGACCCTTTTGTATTTGGTGGAGCTTGATGTTGGATGAAGGATGAGGAAAGGATGAATGGTTGTGATTGGTTGAGTTGGATAAGATGGGGGTGATGAATGTGGCCTTGAAGTGAAGGCTTGGTGAAGAGAATGAATGTGGCCTTGAAGTTAAGGCTTGGTGAATGGGATGTATTTGGCTTTGATTTTAAGGCTTGGTGAGTGGAATGAATGTGGCTTGGATTGGAAGGCTTGGTATGGAATCTTTAGTTTGATTGGTGGATAATGGGATGAGAAAGATGATGAGGATAGGAGGAGAGTTGAGGTGGAGGATTGATAGGTTTTGATTGGTAGGTTTTTGCTGTCTGGAGATAGGAAGGGTGTGGTGGCGAGTGGGCATTTTTGCAAGATGCCTTTTGCATATTCGGATTTTGGCTGACGGGGAAATTGCGGCGAAAAATTTCGCCACGTGAAATATTTCCCGCCACCCTGGTGCCACGCGAGCAGCAGCCACAGTTCACTGCAACATGATCCACTCCGGCCGTGACGAAACCATTCCAGTTGGCGAAATGAGGACCCAGATCAGGCCGCAGTCAGAAGTTTGCCCACCATCCGAAGTCTTTCCACGCGGCTCGAAATGTTGGTTTTGCAATTTATTCAATTTCAATGTTTGCCCACGCGGCTCGACCTCAGGCCAACCGGCCACGGTCGCATTTCTCTGCCTGCACGTCAATGTGCGACTTCATCGATTGGTGGTTTGGGGGGTTGTGCTTTCGGAGAGTCTGGTTACGTGCTACATGCTGTTTGAAAGTCTTGACTTGCGCGACCTTGAGGCATGGCCGTTAGGTTATTGCCTGACAATATTTATCGCACCTTCTTCGTGCGATTTTACAAGAAGATTTTATTGGTGGCGAAAACGATTCGGTTGGACACCTGTCATGCGATCCGGGCGACCTCTGTCGCCTGCCAAAAGCAGGTTTGGTGGCCAAAGTGGGGCCCTGCCCCACCCGGACACCATCAGCCCCGGAAAAGTTCTGATGCTGGGCAGACTTCATGGTGGGCAAACTTGAGAATGCGGTCTCGGTCAACTCTTCGCTGAGGTCGCCAAATTACACGGAACCCAAGGTCACCAAACCCACCACCATGCATCAAACCCCAAGGGAACCCACCCCAACCCATCATCCTCACACTGTTGCTCCCTCTGCCGTTGAACACTCGAAGTTGAGACCCTTAGGACGTGTCTCATGTGGAGGGTCCGCTGGATCTGGTCTGCGACCAGAATCTATAGGCCTGGTCCGGTGTTCTGGTCCGACGGACCCACTTGGCGGACCAGCGTTGGACCAGACACGGACTGGTCTGCCTGATGCGTCGCGCTTCGGGCTGCATAGCAGTAGCAACGAATTTGAAATTGAGTTACCCATTTTCTTCGTCTGCACACAAATCTCACGCGAAACTTACAAAACAAGAAATTTCGCCAAAACAAATGTTTCCCCACCCACTGTTTACGGACCAGGCGCGGACTGGTCTGGAGGGCCAAATAAATGGCACCGTTTTAGTGCCATTCGAACGGTATAACGGGGTTACAAGCCCCACATTCTGGTCCCGGTCCGCCCTGGTTCACGCGCTGGTTCTTGAGCTGGTCCGTCAGGTCCGAGCTGTACCCACGTGGACTCAGACATCTGAGACACCCTGGGCCTCCTAGATTCTCCCGCAGCGGCTACGTAGCCGTTTATATTAGGGGGTGTCCGAAGTGAAACGTCCACATCCGTTGACATCCGTTTGGGGATGTCGGTAAATCCTGACGGTTGGAACTGTCAATCCGAGGGATGAAATTTACTGACATCCAGCGACATCCATCGACGTTTCACTTCGGACACGCTGCGAACTTCCGACGCACGCGGCTCGAAACTGAGTCGATTTTGTGGGGACTTCTCCTGTTCCACCGTCGTCAGCGTCACTTGCGTTCCCTTGCAGTACTTCTGCTCTCCAGGCAGTTTGCTCGAATGCAAGCATTTCAACACACTCCCAGCCGACATTTCAACCTCCGAGGTTAAAAAGGTTTGTGCACACAAAAGTGTGCACGGTAGCTTTTCTTGCGGAAAAGCTGCGGAAAAACAACTTGGAGCTGCGGAAAAGCGGTGAGAGTCAATGTTGCTAGAATGTCACTTCCATGCCGCAACTGGAAAGCTACGACAATGTCACTTGCGCCCCTTGGCGCCTTCGTACATTCGCACCCAATTCGTCATCCAAGTGCTAAACAGCGGTACAGTACGGTGTTGAAACAACCGAAAGGTTATATAAAGCATTCCCGAAGCTGCTCCACTGTACCAGTACCGCAATAGCTCATATAGAGCATGCGGAATGTCGAGGGTCACCCGAAGGTCAACCGTCTGAAGAAGTCAATGGTCGTGACCTTTGACGATCCAGTAACTGCGCGACAGTTAATTCACTGCAACATGGTAACTGTCGAGGATAGCAATAGTCGCGGTTACTGTAGCTATGCAATACAGTTAATAAGGGAATGTACCCCTCAAAGTACATGGCTAGCTAGATTTCTATTTAATCTCTTGTACTCCTATCTTTCAATCATCTTGTTCTCTTTCAATTATTATTCAAACAAGGTGACTACAGAGACTTCTTTGTCTCCTCTCAGACTTAACAGATCCTATCCTATCTACTGGATCCTTTGGTTGTATCGGCATACGGTTTCAAGATGGTTGTGGGCCTCGACCAGATTGTACAGACCACGAAATGTTACCAGTCCTTGCGAAGTTTCGGAAACCAAGCACTTCAACAACCAATCAAGAAGAAGCAACAGTGTTTCATGCAAACGAAATTAGCATACTTCGCATAGCGTCGCCAAACACCAACTGCCAAATTGTTCACATCAAACCCAACTCTCATTGAGTTCTAACCAATCGAGAGGGCGTTCAAATATGTTCCACCAATCACATCGCATTCCTAATCTCCACGTCAACTCCCCACAGCTTCTCGAATGTTCCCTCAACCATTTCTTCTCCAACCATTTCTTCTATGCCTGTTCTTCTCTTCACCTGTTCTTTTCCTTCACTCTGGAGACACTTGTTTATTCTCGCCCCTTTCTCCTTTCTCCAGATCTATCCCTCCTTGTTTTCACTAATGGAATGTCGCCCTACTATGTTCATGGTGTTTTGCTATGTGTCCGGGCTAGTATCATAAATTAATTGCTTACTATTCCCTTGTTTTGTGCCATTCGACTGCTGGTTGCAGATACGATTCATGTGTTACCGTCTACTAGAGACACCTACTCGTCTTGAACCGAGCAGCCGGTGACCGACGACACAATCACTCTCCTTTTTCGGTAGGTGGCTATGTTGTTGCTTCTTTTTTTGTTGTCTTCTCTTATCTTTTTAGCGGTGTCTTTTCGTACTGTTATTATA